GTGCCCACTATATAACAGTTGTGTGATCAGGAAAGTGACCTTGGCAGGTCTCTGTTGGACCATCTCCAGATTCTTGACATCCTTACTCAAGTGGTGTGCCTGACACTGGGCCCAGTACTCTCAGTATGTCATCAGCACTGAGTACAGGGCATCAGCATGACTGCTTTTCCATTCCCATGTTAGTGATTGCAAAGAGAGTCTTTACAGAGACACTCAGAGAACATCATCAGGGCACAGGAGATTCATTCCAAGGAGAAGAATGGATGATAACAGTAGGTTGCATGGATGGAACTGTACCAAAGGACGGGGAGAAGAGCTGCAGAGCCATGATATGGGCCAGCAGCTGAGTAACAGCTATTAATGCTCTACAGAGACAGCTAAGGCACTGAAAGCAAGTTGGTTCTCTGATGAAGTGAAGGCGACTCCAGTACAAAAGTTTGGAAGATAAGCCAGAGATCTAGAAAAAGGTGAATAGATACTAATATGCTATAGATACTGTATATGCAGAGCTGATCAGTAGAAGCTCCTAAAAGCTGCAAGGCTTGCCTTCAGCTATCTTTTCTCAAGAGTATTCATATTTAGCAGTCATAGGTGTGATTGAGAAAAAACAGGGTTAACTTGTTTCAACAAGTGAAAAGGTTTTCATTTTCTTCTCAGGTGACTTCATCTCCAAATACAAAGAAAATCCATTTGCATCAACACTAGCCTTTCTAAGCACAACAGAATCTCAAAAAACTATCTCCTTGATGATGCTCTTTCCTAATCACAGAATGATTAGGCTTGGAAGGAACCTCTGGAGATCATCCAATCCAACACCCAATGAAAATTTTAATTATTTTAAAATAAATAAATAAATAAAACCCCAAAGCACAGGAAAAAACAAACAAACAAACAAAAAACCCCCACAAACAAACAAAACAAACCAAAACCCAACCAAACCAAAACCCAACCATTTTCTCACTTTCAGTCCTTCCTGATATTTTCACATATGCAGGCAAAAAATTCTCTTGTTAATGCCATAAAGATTCACCCAGATGCCAGAATCAAAACTTTCTCTACATATTCTCCTTAACAACTCTCATTTAGTGCGAGCAGGTGGTGAGAAGGAAGCGGAGTCAGAGAGAAGAGGATTATTTCGGGAAAGGAAGCAGTAGCTGTTACTAGCCTGTCAAACAGTATGAATGGTGGAAATCTGAATCATGCTTTTACGTTTGAATGATTAATTCCAATATGCTATTATAAACAATGATCCTTTACAAAGGATGTAATCTCCCTAACATGAAAAAAATACACGTGCTAGAAAAAGAGCAGGATCTGAAGCAAACTGGAGGCAATATAGAGATGGACCAGCTTGAGTTTTCTTCATCTTACCTCTTCCTATAACACTTAGGTGCTGGTCTCCAGGGCCTGTATTACACTCCATAACAGAATTAGCCCATTGAAAGTAATGCTTGAAAGAAGAAGGAAAAAGTCTGTCAACGTGGAGTTTGGGAGAAATTACAGCTACATTTTTAGCTTCACTGAATGGAAGCACTCTTGAATAAACGCTGCCAAGATGAAATCCTAGCAAGTTAATGACACATTTAGAGTGTGCCTATTCACTCACAGAGAGATATTACTACAATGATACAGATTATGTACCAAGGAAATTTCAAGGCATATATTTAACGGATGGCTGGCTTGCTGACATAACTCTGTGTACAGCATACATTCCAGATAGGAATTAAGAATTTCAACATCCTCTCCACTGTCTGCAAGCAGAGGGCAAGCTCCTACGCTAGCAGTAGATGGTAAGTGTCCTCTAGAGTTACAGTTTTTAAATGATCTTATTAGCTTTCACTGTTTAAACAAGTCACTTTCTATCTTGTGTTTTATCTTTGTGTCCGTCCCTCTGGCTCTCATTTGAGGGTGACCACAGTGGTTTCTGCCTGCACAGAAGGGATGGCTCAGCTGCTCTTCTAGCAGCTGCTGAACCATCACAAATTACAGCTTACTGTACTGAAGTATGTGGAAATTGGTGTCTGCCTTAGTATGTGGGACTGTAAACCATGGTGGCTCAGCAGCTGCCTCACAAACAGCTGAGCCAACCCTGCAGCAAGGGTAAAAATGAAAGAGACGGCGAGAATGATTACAACAGCCCTTGGGTAAAGCACACATAACAACGTTGACCTTTGGTGAGTTACACATCTCTTGCTTCAGCTTCTCAGCTGTAACGTGGGTAGTTCCTCTCCCACACACTTCCTAGGAATGGTGCTACAAGATGTGTGCACAAAGCTGTAAAGAATGCCATAAAAATTTGCAGAATGGGTACTACTACTGATTATGCAGTGATTCTGAAGAACAAGCACTGTTCCAGTTGCTCCTTCAACAAAAAGACTGACCTCATATGATACTCTTGACATTTCATATAACTGTAGTGCTGCACATAAAAAAGTTCCATCTCCTGATTTTCCTTTTTCTGTTTTGTTTGTTTGTGTTAAACAAATAAATCAATAAATCGCAAGATGTATGGCAATCCTACTTAGAGGAAAAAAGCAAATGCCATTGCTATGCCTTAACCTTTGCACTAGAGCCAGCCCTAAGGAGCTTTTCTGCAAGTAGTAATTTCAGATATCATCATAAGATGCAACGCCTGCTGTTGCCATGTTATGCACATGCTTCCGTAGGACAAGCTAGATATTCTTATCAGCTCTGCATAGCAATTTCTCAGCTAGATATTTTAGCTGCCTCTTACGCTTTTCAGCTTTTGGTGTCCATTCCAAGGCTATTTTAGTCCAGTTGTTATCTGTACTGCTTGTGATACGTTCTGGCTGCCACCATCTGTTTCTTTCTCTTTATAAAAAGTTTTTCAGTGGCTTCCTTTACTGGTTTGTCCTCTGGCTCAACATCTTGACACAAAGCTATTCCCACTGCTTGCTATCAACCCACTTTTTTCCATTAGCAGGAATTCTGTAATCGTAATAAGAGACATTTCTAACCAGGATGTGAAAACAAGGGAACTACCTAGGGTGCTGCAATCAGAAATTATACATAACCTTCCCTCCCACTTACCCTTATCCTTCCTCACAGTATGGTCATTGCTCAATCTTTTTCCAGCTTATATTTGCTGTCTTCTCCCCCCATCACTGCATGCCCACTTCCTTTAGCCACACACTTTGTGACATCTATATACAATACAGCGGCAGCTGTCATATGGAGAAGACCATGTGGATGTGAGTTTCTCTTTTAATACATTCTTGTTAGGTATACATCAAGATGCCACATGCATCTAAAATTGTAGCAAAATACACAGTAAGGCATATACCCAAATAGCACAGTCATCCATTCTGTATGGCAATTCAAGAAAAATGAAGGTTACAAAATTACATTTAAAAACATGACAGTGGGATTTCCAGCTATTCAGATGCTCAGTTTAGTCTAGAAACTATTCTACACGTTTTTGCATATGGTATAGATAAAGAAGGTATCTAAATCCTAGATTTTAAAGGTCTTTCTAGCTTGCAAAGCTGCAAGTAACGTTCATTGCGTATCATAGGTTGCGATATGGTTCTTCATATCACTAGCCACATATCTGGAATAACTACTTTGCCTATAATGCCGTGTAAACATATTTAATACTGGTTTTAGTCCCAAACAAGAATAAATATTCATTCATACGGCAAAAAAAAAATTATCATTCAGAGCTGTATTTGAAATTCCACAAACAAATCCAATAGGGGTTCTGTCGCTTTTCCCTAAGTACTATGCAGTTTTACCTCCTAAATCCCAACCTGCTCTGTTTCTTTTCAGAATTCTAATCCAGGAATCAAACAAATCCAAAAAAGAATCCTATCTGCTTTCCTCAAATAAAGAAAATTTAAATAATGTTATTGGCAAGTACAAATAAATAAGTACTACAGTTGCAATGTGTTAATTAGCTATCTAGAAAAATGGGATTTTAATTACTTCTGTGCACTATACTCACAGAATAAAATTATTTGGCATAAAACCCAGCTGAGTCTGTGAAACAAAAAATACCGTACTTGCTCCACACTTTTAATAACAGTGCTGTCAAGGCTGCTTCTCTGTTTAGAGACGCATGTTACTTTTTTTCTCATAGCTGTCTCCCAGGATTGATATTTTTTACATCTGAACGAAGGAAGAATTGTTCTCAGGTCCTATCAAACTATGCCAAGGAAAGCTTGCATAGATTGGGAATAGGAAGAAGAGTTCACTTGTGTGTGGTTGCTGTCTCCCCTCACTCTTCCTTTCTTCTGGAAAGAGTTGGTATGATACTCTTCATGCAGTCAGAGGTGGGGTAGAATGAAATGAAGAGGGTAAACTGTGCCAAATCCAGACTTGAGAATACACTGTAACAGAGCTTTTGTCTGTCATTTTTATTACTCGCCTGTTGTTTTTTTTTTTTTTTGCTTTCCCTAGATTTCAACATGTATAACTATAGCCAACAGCAGCAGGCAGTTGGTTGGTTCTTTTAGGAACTGCACCCTGAACAGGCACAAGGTAAGTTACAGAAAACCCTGTTATCTGGTACTTGTTATGAAAATATGAAGCAAAGGAAATACCATAGAGGCTCAAAGTGAGGTAAAACATAACCACCTAACAGTTCTAAAAATGATAGTGGTGAATCACTAACCGTTACTTGCAAAAGCTGCATTCCCATTGACCTATGTTCAGCAGCTCTCAGCTGTAAATCCCAGGGCTGTTTAGTAATCTTACAAACACAGCTACAAACCTTCCTGTATGCAGCAACAGCCCAGCTTCTCTCGTGCCCATAATAACCTCACTGTGTTTTTATAAATCCTGGCTTTGGGAAGCCGTGTTGCTGGAAACATTTACAAGCAATGCCACAGTCACACGGCCTCCACCACCACCACCTAGGTGCTGCACTACCCGCTTCAGCAGGCTCCTTTGCAAGGATGCTGCCCGGGACGCAGCGCCCCCCGATACAGTTTCCAGCTATGAACCAAAATCCGTGCGTTGCAGCCAAGGTTTCCACTTACCTAGTTTGGTGGCCCCCTCTGGCGGGTACTCGGGGAATTGGCCCTCGGAGGGGACGCTCACCGTCCGGCGCAGGCAGCGCCCTTTGGTAGCATCCGCCGGCGGCTCCTGCACCCCATCGATAGGCACCTGCATAAAAAGGATGCCCACAGCTGTTAATCTGCCACTGGGCCACGCTGCTAATATGCCATCTTGATAAGAACTTGATTTTCGACTTATCTGGCAATAACTTTCAGACGCAGTTTGGCATGCCAAACCTCACCACAAAATTCCCCGTGCTCACTGGGCATGCACTGCAGCAGTGAGGAGCATTAGTAGACATGCAGCCTGGAGAGGGCTGCATGCAGGTACGCAGCAACCGTCACTCCAGAGGTATCAAGTCACAACACAGCCGACCCCTCTGACTAACAAGGCAGTCGTGCCTTTCAAAACTGGTCCTCCAACACTAGACCCACTGCTACCCAGCCTTGCCCACATCCACGCTGGGCAAGTCAGGCAGAGGCTGCTGGTCAGATGGCTACATGAGGAACTTTGAGATTACTAAAGCATTTTTGCAGTCTCAACACATATTCAGCTACAGCATGTCAGAGAAAAATGGACATTCTGCTGGTCATATTGGGGCATATGGAGAAATACGATCTCTTCTACGATTAAGTCAAAGTCATCCTAGTGGGATCTCAGAAGGCTTGAAGAAAGGCTTAGGGTCCTCACTGTTTCACAGTAATGAAGTTCTGTACACCAATTCTCTTTAAAAATACTGCATATATAAAGATCTTATTTCTTTTCTGAAATTTTGCCAGAACTGTCAGAAACTTTGCCAGAACTTGACAGGGGAGCAAACCCCCTCAACCTTACCTTTAAACACCTGCATGAACAGCTACATTTTGCTAGACAGGTGCTTATGCTAGAGGGAAAACAAATCAAACCAAAACAAACTACCTATCACTACAAGCTACATGGCATGTAGACAACAGCCAAGAGCTTTAGAAAAGCCTAAGCGATACAGCCTCTTTGTCCAACAGTGTGTCTGGGAACAAGAAGTGAGCCTGTATTGGGTTTGACTGGCAAGGTTTTGGTAACAGGGCAGCAACAGGGGTGGTTTCTGCAAGAAGCTACCAGAAGCTTCCCCTGTGTCCAGCAGAGCCAATGCCAGCTAGCTCCAAGACGGATCCACTACTGGCCAAGGCTGAGCCCAACAGTGACAGTAGGAACACCTCTGGGATAACATAGACAAGAAAGGGGAAAAATTCTCGTGCAGGAGCAACTGCAGTCAGAGAGCAGTGAGAATATGGGACAGAAACAGCCTTGCAGACACCAAGGTCAGTGCAGAAGGATGGGGAGATGGTCCAGGTGCTGGAGTTACGATTGCAAGTCATATTATATTTCTTTCCCCTGTTCAGCTGAGGAGGGGGGAGTGACAGAATGGCTTTGGTGGACACATGACATCCAGCTGAGGTCAGCCCACCACATATACTCCTAATGCAATCCCCCAAAATGTACAAAGAGATTTGGAGTATAAGGAACTACTGAATGAATTTATAAAGGAACACAATTTTCTAGGAACCCAACTATTTTATGAATTTATACAGACACCTTTGTGTCTCCTGATTTTGTTTACAAGATCAGTGCAGGTTAATTCAAGCACTAGTTACTCTGCATATAGAAAGGCAGACAGACAAAACCTTCAGAGAGCTACCTGCTCACCAAAGTTGCACTCCAGATTGTCCTGGCCTGCAGAAACAGACAACACTGCTTCCAGCAGGAGGAAGTCATCCTTCACTCTCCTCTTCTGAAGAACATACACATTGTTCTGCACACATTCATACACATTTGTTCAAATGATAAAATATGGCAAGGTGGTGAAAGGCTGGTCACCAAAGATGGAGACTGCATGGAAGCACATCTCCAGAACCAAGCTAAATAGGCTGATGGTAATCATTGTTTCCCCAGCCAAGCAGCTACCAGGGGTAGGCATCTGTGGCCAGTACTGCCTTATAGAGGATGTCTGGGCCCCAGCTTCTTGCTGGTCTGCCTGATAATCATGGTTATGACCATGGTTTTGCAGGTCTTTGCATGCTCAGATACTAAGTTTAGCTCAATACTGGTGAATTACTAGGCTTGCTGTTTCAGTCTGGGTAATTGTGCCACTGAGTTACTGCATTTCTTGTTGTAACACCACAGATAATCATATTCCTGATCTGTGCTTGCTACTGCACCATTATTTAGAGATAGACTGTTTATCCTGAAAGCTGTTGGTCTATTGTCTGTTACTGTATCTGGAACCTAAAACTTGGTGGGACCTCCTTGAGGGCTTATATTCAACAGCTGGAACAAACCCCAGGGATGAGGGAGAAATGCAGCATCCAGAGGCTGGAGGCAGGCACAATCCCTCTGTGCCCAAAACATCTCAGTGCCCTTTTGATAAGGACGTTGGCTTCAACACTACATCTGTGATACATGCAATGCAGCAATTTATTTTCATACAGCTACATAAAAGACAGCTTGCAGCTAAAGTAATAGAAACCCCTGCCATATTTCCTGTGCTGCTTATCCTTTCATATCTTCAATGATCTCTGGAAACCAAGTATTAATAGCAAACAAAAAGATATTATTCATTTGCACTGAAGGTTGTAAAAGATGTACAAGATACTGTAGTATTTTAGAAACAGGCTGCACTACAATGGCTCTCACAAACTAATTCTGGCATTTCCTGACTTTTAAGCACTTAGCATTCTCTTAAGGTCATTTTTTAATGCTATTTATTACTATGCTAGTCTATTTGTCTCCTTCAAACAGTGCTCATTTTTCAAAACAAGTTTCCCAATTCCCTAGTGTTTCTTCTGTTAAGGCTGCTTTCTTTGCTGGTAGATTTTTACAGAATCTCCTTTGCTGAACAATCTCTATGTGAGTGAAAGCACGCTAGGAAGTTAAGCAGAGACTAATTTTGGTAACTTATGCCACATTCATTCAATCAATTTCACATTTTACGTTTTCAGTTTCCAACTGGAAGCTCCATTTAGTCTTATTGCCTTCTAAATACCCTTCTGCTCCACTGCTTGTGCCTCTCCCGATTTTCTTCAGAGCATTTTTTTGGTGCAAGGCTGCAAGCCGTATGTCCAGAATGGCCATTACCAGTCACACCACACACCTGCCTTGGCACACCTTAAAAGCACTGAGTTACCACCCTCTGACCCTCATTTCTCAGTGAACCTGCTGCACTGCACTCAACTGCTAAGGCTCCTATACCAATACACCTCCTGCAGGGTAGATTTATCCATTATAATGTTTCTTAACTGAGAAATCAATATAGTCCTTTCTTTCAAGTATATCTCTTTAGTATTCGTATCAGCTCTTGGACATGGGATGACAGAAACATTCTTTTAATACACAGACACAAGAAACCCCCCTACTACCATCCTGATAACACCATATAAAAGAACAGCAACAACAGCCAAGAGGACACTATGGATGTAGTGACTTGCTGTAGTCGGAATGGTGACTGAAGCCATGCTGTCCTTTGTGTCCTTGGGAAAAGCAAACAGGCTGCAGCACACCGGAGTTGGTGTCAAAAACAAATCTCTTTTGCATACCAGAGATAGGATTTATCTTCAAAGAGGAACTGAGCCATTAACAGGAAGACTGTCTGAGAGCTCAGGTCCTAATTCTGGGTCACTTAGCCTTTTGTATTTAACATTTGCCCAGACTAGGAAAACATGGTTAGGCTGCACATGAAAAAAGGTTCACTGGTATGGCTACATTCAGCTGGTGTGGTACAGTCCACACCAGCCAAAAAAAAAAAAAAAAAAAGTCTTTTGCTAGTGTATTTATAATGGCTTGAGAAAAAAACCCTGATGCGGCTTATTTCACTCAGTAATTCTATAAGCTGGGTAAGGAACAACATTTTAATGCTAAGTAGCTTGATCTGCATTAGAAAATACACAAACATCCCACAACTTCATTGATGAAAGTAGCAAAGTAGCTAAATAAGATATCCCCTTGTCAGACTGAAGTGTTGTGTTATTTTAAGTAACTTTCTTCCAAAACCTTAGTCTTAGTCTACATTGACAAAAAAGAACTAACTCCAGGACTGCAGGGGCAGTATTTATTGCTTGGCATAAGATAAGCCTGCTCTTAGAAACACAGTTTCATGAACATGCAGAATGATCTTGGTCAGCAGTTCTGCATCTCTTGAGGCTGGACATATTTTGAAACAGGTATATAAACTGCTCTGTGGTAGGTCAGATGGATTCACAGATTGGGTGGCAGTGAAATATCAGCAAGCGAACAACTAAATACCACACAAACACCAAACCAGACATCTGCAATCTTCCCAAGCCTCCTCCAGCCCCTGCCATTACCACAAGCAGTTCAGCAAAGGATCGAAGAGAATTAGCAAGCCTTGCAGAGTCGCAAGTCTAGTGGTAAATCAGGCTTTCAGCTCTTTATTATTACTTTCTCCCATACAGCTTTGTTATCCTGCTCTTGGTCCTGCTAAGTCTTCACTAACCTGGGAATCATATGGCCTTGAGCTGATGTGCTGAAGCTGATGGTTCAGGGCTGGACTCTGAGCGGTGTGAGTCTGGGACAAGAAGGTATGTGGGGACAGTCCAAATGCTGATAATTTTGGCAGTATATGACAATTTTGATCATAGCTTCTTTATAGATTTTTCAAGATTGGAAAAGACTGATTTAAGGCAAAAAAGCTTGAAAACTTGCAATCTTTTCTGAACTGTCAGGAAGTTTGGAATCATGTCAACTGAACATTTAAATAGTTCATTTTAATTTTTACCTTCTTCCAGAAAGTTATAAGCTGGCTAAAATTTTGACATAGAGCTCCACTTTAAAAGTGTCAACAACAGACATTTCTTTGGCCTTTTTGGAAAGTAATTAAATTCATCCGGGAACTGAAGTGAATATTTTCTTTCAACTGGGTTTGGATTTCACAAACTCCAAGTACAGTTAAAACACATTTGCTGTAAGATACCATTGTGACATGTCTTTTGAGACTGGCAGTGGGCATTTCTGAGGAACCTTCCCTGAGGCTCCATGCATCAATGTTTGGTTTTGCTATTTTCTCTTGTGATCACTGCTGTTGCTCCACTACTGGTATCAGTCTAAGGAGATGGAAGAGTAGGAAAATACATCAGAGATGTCCTGGTGCTGGCCTCTGTCACCAGCACCAATAAGTAGTAGAAGTTGTCACAGTGAATGTAGATCTTTACTATCCTTTGCCCTTGATTAAAAACACCTCTAAATGCAAAAAGAAAGATGAGATTTTGGGCACAGGCAGGAAAAAGGAAGAGTCCTACACAGTGAGAAGTGGTGCTCATTTTCAACTAAGCACAAAATTAAAAGATTCTGTAGGACAGCAGCCAAGTTACAGACAAAGACTAACTAAAAAGCAGCCCCAAACCAGATGCAGCCATTTGTCACATCCCTCATGAAAGTGCTGCGCAATGAATTATCTATCTGAAACCGCTCTTCATAAACACTAACTCATTCCCTTTCCCTGTTTAAATGGCACTGATTTTTGCAGACAGTTTTGCTGTGCTCTCATAGCTCTTACCCTATGGAACAGGTTGCACAAACAATGAAAATATCTAGGCCTTCCTGACAGTGGGAAACTTCTTCGTAGAAAAAATACCTGATTTGTAAGTGAATCAATCTAGACCTGTTCTCCTAGGCTTAGAAGATGCTGCTAGATATTACCACACCATGATATGTTGTAGTAATTGCATATCTCCTGCCACTCACAACTCTATTTGCTATGTCATCTTTCATGTACCTACAGGGATTCACTTTGTTTCTACTTACTCTTTGAGCATCAATCTCTTCCCTTCAATAATAATCTTCATTCTTCAGTCTCATCTATTTTCATTTTATAAGGTTGATAAGGTGTCAAGTAATTAATATTTTTCTATACTGCACAAGGTGATACATTCAGACTATTTTTGTCTAAGTACTTACAGATATTTTTGGATCAAGCTGTACCTCAAAATTTCACTGATTTCCAACCTATACTTGTGCTTTCACTGCACAAAATCTCTCTTGCACATACTCTATTAAAACTGCCTTGACAATAAATCCATAGTGGTGGCACGTTATAAGAAAAGAGCTTTCTTATTATTCTATTTCTCAGTCTTAAAAATCTGTGAAATTCATAATGCTGTATTTTAACAGCATTAACTGAAATAAACCATACTTAGCAATATACCTGAAACAATCTTTCATTTACCTGTTTGCATTTTGTGTATTTTTCCCTACTTTTTGGCTTTGACATACATGCCTGCATAATGATTTTACAAAGTATTATAGACATCAAACATTTCTGTTCCCTTTAAATTTCACACAGAACTAAGCTCTTTGGAGCTTTACTCCATTAAGTAACAAAGCAGATGGACAGAGAATAAAATGAGATGCTTATTTAGAGTTTTCAAATTACAACAGCCTTGTGATGATGCAAGCGCCCCCTTTCAGCTGCAAGGACACTCTGCTGTTAACATCTCTTCCTTCTTCCTCCACACCCACCCCTTACTGATGGGTATCATTCTGTCCCTCACATTGTTTTCAAGATCTTCTTCTGCAGTCCAAAGAAATTCTGACCTACCTCCTCTATCAGCATTTTTCATGTTCAGAGCAGGAACCTCTCCACCTTCACCTCCTGTTGCCTATCACCTCACTTCAGGTTAACAGAAAACCTCCTCCAGCATCACCTTTCCAATAATTTTACTCTAAACACAATCTTTAATTTTCTTTGTTGAGTAACCTCCCTCTTCCTCATTCACCTGGTCTTTTGCTTAGGCTCCCTTACCTTTGGTCCCACCCATGGGCTTTTTTGATGCATCTCCTACATACTTTTCAACCATTATGCTCTTCCCAAGCATCTCTTCCCATTGCTGCCTTAGGCCTTTGTTCACTTTTAGATCACATTTCATAGGGTTTCTTTCAACACTGAATGCCTTGCCAAGGAAAATTCAACTGAGTTGCTTCCCCTTCCCTTTCTCATCAAAGCTACAGGGGATATTTCAGAAAAATTAGAAGGTACAAACCCAGAGTATCAGCTCTGTGTCTCTCTCTTTACTAGCAGTTCTACTCCTATATGCTTTATGTTTCTGAAAGGGATTGTATGTACACTGCCAGGTGTACAGACTTAGAAACTAGATTAAAACAACATTTCATTTTCCTACAGAGTACTCACGACTCTGCCAGCAGTTCCCTTTTTCCTTTCACTCAACAGTAGTCACAAATTATTTCAAAATCAGAATGGCAAATTTGACTCCAGCTACAAGCTTCTGAAACAAATTCCATTATCAGCATGTGGAGTCACACCTTCACCAAAGGCATGTCTGCTTGGCCCATCTGCATGCAGCCTTTTCAAAAACAAGTTATTTACCATTGTGATAGTGCGGGCAGGCTCCTTTGAGAGCACGTTGCAAAGGCTTACTCTGCAGCTCCATTTTGGGGGGTTACTGCTGCACTTAAAACCCAGACTCTTTATAACCTGATACTGAATTTCTCCAGCTTCTGACAAAAAATCAGCCTGTATTTAAAAATAGTATATAATGACTCAATACACCACCAATACATCAGACTTCCCATATTTATTTCTCAGGATCTAAGCAAAAGACTCATCTTACTCCCAGCAAAATGCTTTCAATTGTATGTGGTAGGAGAAATTAAGAAGCCAGAAGTGCATGATTACCACCTCCAGATAATTACTTGTGATATAAGCCAGTGTTGTTTTCAATTACACTTCCTTAATGAGATGCACTCTTTCAGCCCAGCTGTGCTGGTACAGTACAGTTTCAGGAATAATTCTCACATGTCCTTAAGTTTCTTCAATATATACTTTAATTCCTTAGGTGACAGTCCTGTCAGACTGGAAAAAGAATTACATAGTAAACAAACATCATGATTTGGGACTTCCATTTTCCACGCGTGTGATCACCTTTCCTACACATTAGCATTGACGATGTTCCCTTCTAGTAACTCAAGTCCTTCTCTAAACCATTTCCTCCTACTCTCCCTAAGCAAGGAAATATTTCAGACCTTGTAAATAAACCTGATCACAGCTGAAGATGAATAATATTTACACCAGAAATAGGCCCCATACTCTCAGCCTGTACACAGCCATACACACAAGCTTCAAAAGAATCAATAAAACCCCACAAAAATCCAGGTCATTTCCAAATGTAGGAAACCATGGTACTACTCAAATTTATGGGCATTTATACACCATAAAAGTCTATTTCAGTAATTTGAAGACATTCATATTTTATAGCTCCTCCTGATATATTTATTTCAAAACAGGGTAAATCTACACCAGGATCATTAACAAAAAAAAACAAACTCAGAAGCATTATCAAATGCTTCTAAAGCTCATGTATTCATGACGCTCTGTAGACATCAAATACCACAAGAAAAAACATATAGCATAGTCTAGAAGGAAATTACGAACATTTGCTTTCAATTAACTAAAACATGCCTATTCTATAACCATATTTACATTACCTTCATAGCAAGGCACAATGCTAAGTACTACACGCTGTACACACACTCTCCCTCCCTCCCTGAGAATAATTTTATAATTAAGGTAAAGACAGTTGCAATAGCTTTAAATGTCCATGCCAAGAGGCACCCAATCTTTCTTGCTGCATTTAGCAAGAGAGAGGGCAAACCTCTGTCTCAATTTACCTTGTAACTGCAGTAAGGATGACTGTACAGTGTAAAGGTTGCACACACCTTCTCTGCCCAGTATTCCCAATACAGACACACACCCTTTCCCTCCAACATTACTGCATTTCTGCCTACCTTTATGTCTGCACTGATGTGAGGAGGTAGGTTTATAGAGCTGTGGTGGCTTTAACTACCATTAAAAGCAGCAATAACATAGAAAGATGGAGTGGCAGACTTAAAACTCAGGCTGTAAAACACCAGGAAGGAGTTTTGGATGCACAGTTTGTTGTCACCTCTTCCATACAACTGGCTTCTGTGGCAGCTGGATTACAACTGTAAGCACCATGACATCCTTATGGAGACTAGGTTAGCTCTCCTTTTTACCCCTTTCACACACTTCCATCGACTCATAAACAAAATAAAGAGCAGACTAAAAAAGCTGCCGTCTCCTTTTACCAATAAAGGCCACAAAGAAAATCCTGAGTGGCCAACGAGAGCTTCTCTCACCTCTTTCTCCCTGTTGAGCAGTACCAGCTGGCTGTCTGTCAGGATGCAGTATTTCCTCTCCCATGTTGTCGTTTCAGTGTAGGGGGACTGGCCGCAGGACAGTCTGTGTGTAGGTGGTCCTTTTACATCTGTGAACAGAAAACCGCAGTGACAGAATCATTAGCATGTATCATTAGCCACCTTCTTTGCTTTTGCTTTTCTGCAGCTAGATGCAAACCAAACCTGCAACCTTTACTTTGCACTGCCTGTTTCAGCACACTGAAAGACAAAATGCTAATCCTGGGAGGCACCCATGTGGAGTGCTATGCAAGATACACTATGAATACTTATTTAGCTATAGCATGACTTACAGAAATGGCAATACCTGAGATGAATATAAATGTCAAAGACTGAAAAAACATAATTAAAAGAAAAGATCAAGAGCTCTCACAAAACCATCGTATTTCCTCCACAACCTTCTCAAAACCATGGTTAGAGGGGGCAGGGCCCTGAATATACTCAAAATCTTAAACTAGGTTATTTGAGACTAAGGATAGAGAGACACATAGGAAGGAAGATGGGGATCAAGGAAGGCAGGCTTGAAGAAGGGAGAAAAAAATTCAAAGGGATAGGCATTTAATCGAGAAGGGCTTACTAGTATCTTCTGGTAGGGAAGCTATTTGATTAAATTGTGACAGATAGGAGTCTTCCAGCATTTTCAATTAGCCACAGCTGTTGTAGTGACAAAAATTCAGTCTCCCCTCTGTCCCCCTAAAAAAATCCAAACCAAACCAACTTCTTTGGCTCCCAGTGCTGATCTTCTAAAATTTTTAATGAATTTCCCGTATGTCTCTCAGGCTTGAACTACATATTACATGTGCCTCTTACTACTAAGAAGCTTTCTGCAAAACTGGGAAAGGAAAGCACACAAATAAGTGCAGCAGTCAGACGGACTTCACTGCCAAGCAGCCAAGCCCAAAAGCAAAGAAAGCTGTGGAGCCGCAAGGTACACTGTCAGTGCTACAGGAAGACTGGGTACAAAGAAGACTGTCCTAGGAATTCAAATATGCAGTCAACTTATAAAAATCTCTTTACAGGAGGCAGAAATGTGATATGAATGATCGAAAAAGGATGTACGCAACAGAGCTATGGATAGCGCCACTTATATAAATGTAGAAAAATTCAAGTTGTCTCTTTCTCAAGTTTTGAGATTAAAGTCTGGTTGCTTTGTAACATTGTTTCATTTTTATCTTGCACTCTGATTTCATAAAACTACTTGCATTACTCTAAAAATCAGCCATTTTCAATGTACACACTGTAGATTCCCGAGACTACCTGTAAGAGGTCTAAAACAGACATTGCAAGTCAAGGGACTTGCTGTACAGGAGTCCAAGACCACCTGCAACTATTTCAGGAGCCCCTTAGGCAAAGTGAGCGTTCAAAGTGTTTTGTGATGTTAGCTTCCTCCTAATAGACATAGTAACCCACTGCTTGCACAGAGCTGAGCACAGATGCTTCCTGCAGCTTCTACCCAGCTTCACCACTAGAGGCCAGCGAATCCTCAAACACCCAGCTCCTCCTCAGCCGCAAAGAGCACAAATCCAAACACAAGCATTAAACGCGGAGTAATGAACCCCTCCAACAGGCATCACCCCTTGCAGACCCTGTGAATGCCAACGCCCCCTAATTATTAAAAAGCTGCAACATGTTCATGCTCTTTTGCTGAATATAATAACAACTTTGCCTTTGCATTGAAAGAAATCACCTTTAAAGTCTGAGAATTAAGTTGAAAGACAGCTTTCAGCAAGTATCCAGTTCAACCTCATGTTGCATTAGGATTTTTGTGATCATTCAGAAGAATGCTTGAAACAGGCTATCTGATATCTTCAAGCAAGAAAAAAAGAGGAGGACTGCATGGCTTCTACTGCTCTGAATAATAGAGAAATGCACCTTTGCTCCCTTAATTTCAGGTGACTTAATAAGGGAGAAAGCTGAAATTCAGAATCAGGCTCCACACTGTTACCTCTCCAATGAAGCTTGGTTTCCAGTAGTAACAAGTAACATTGTGTGTCTCAGAATTGCCCCAACCTCTATTTAGGAATAAGCATAATTAAGAGAAACCACCACAGTCTCTGTGGAGTGTGTTTGTGCAAACTCCTACAGCACAACAGACTCTCTCACGAGTTATATTTTTGTCCATCCTATAGACATTAACCTTCCAGGTAGATTTTTGGCACAAGTTCAACTCACATTTATCATGGTGTCAGACCAAAAACCTAACCAGATGAAAAATAAAGCCACTGGTGCTCTTGCTTAGACCTTGGTTTCCCCAAACAGCAGCACATGAATCCTAGTCACGCCTCAGCAACATAAACCTATGAGCAATGGGGCTGACAGAGGAAAGATAAGCAAGAATGATGAAGCCATAGGCTCCTAGCATGAGTGTGCAACACAAATGTGAAGACCAGAGCTCTGGGGGTAGTCTCTTGGGTAATGAAAGCATATGATCAATCACCAAGGGGAAAAAAAGATGAAGGCATGCTCCATCCTGCTCATGTGGGTGGGCTAGCAGTGAGACACTGCCTCCAGCTGCTATGCTAAGTGATAACCAAGTAAACATTGTTTTGAACTGCTGGTAGACTTTCTCCTCGCAAAAGAAAACCCTTCTGGACCATTAGCTCCAGCACAGAATCTACAATCACGAGTCACCCAGCTCAAGAAGACTTTTGCATTATAATTTCTACTAACTACCAGCCTTGGCAGAATACCATCCTGATCTATGGGCTGCACAAAGGAATTAAAGAACAGAATGACTTCTTCCACTGCAATAACAACTCCGGGACTTAACTGAGTCATCAGGCACTGCGGGCCAGCCATGTCTCTGTTGCCAAGTGCGTTGGCTACAGTGGAACAGCTTTCCACAGCCTGCTGACAGAGTTACCTGTCATCTCTGTCTGGAGCTGTCAATCACCACTAGAGAACACCACAGCATTAATATTTTGTGTTTGCATTGGTATCCTTTTGAACACATCAGGACACAATCCCACCACCCCTGCAGGCTGACCAAGCACTCTCTTTAACAAAGAAGAGCAGTTGCAAGTTGGTTTTCTGATATATCAGATCGCATAACTTCAGTCCTTTCCCTGAGGCTGATGGAGCAAGCCCCTGGTGCAAACTAGACGTATGCTGAGTACACATTACAAGAACACTCACCGCAACAAAAACCACAGCATAGCTTTGGTGTATTTGTCCCACCTATTTATATTATTTCTCATCTAGCCCTCCTGTGTGGTTGACCTCTTTGGAGCCTCTCACAACAGCTGTAACTTCAAAACTTACTCTGAAGTATGTTACCAGTTTAGGCTGAAGACTCTTCAGGACTTTACACAGTATCACATATACACTCGGTCACTTTACAAGCCCAGTTCTGCTTTCCAGTACTCTTCATCTTCAGTTTTCATTTTACATTCTTGGCTCCAACTTTTCACATGAATGTAATAAAACCCAGCAACATCTTCCACTAATGCCCAATAAAACTAATTTACTGCCAATGTTTGATTTGCTATGGAAGTGAGTTGCAAAAAGTCCATGTGTAACTAAGATCGCTTACACTACTGGGAAAGATCGAAAGCTGGGGCTGTCTTTTCTAATTTTGGGGCTGTTATCTATCAGCTTACACAGGAAGGCTTGTTCTTTGGAGGGTAGCTCATTGATGAATGCAGTTTCAGACAGGAGTTGGAGGAGAGATCAGGCAGATGCATCTGAAAGCTCCGAGTTTGCAGATGCTACGTGTGGGACGGGATCATGCAGCCACACACCTAAATATGCAAGTTCTGGTGACAGAAAGATTTCTTTCTCTGGTCTGATGCAATCCTTTCCGTTCTGCATCATTACAATGAGGCATTCAAGCAAGCAGATCAGTTAGTCTACACACAGGATTAAAGGTCATGCCTTATGTGCCTTCAAATGCTAATATCGGTTAAGTAACAGCTTGGAAAGAATCCCCTTCTCAGTACATCCTCCCCTGCTGAACTGAGAAGAGCATCACTGCCTGCCTGCCACATTTGACATAGCTGAAGACTGGAAACGGCGTTGTTTTTCCTCAGGGTTCTGAAATGCCATTAGGCATATTATAAATATCCATAAAGCTCTCTTTCAGCCAAACTTGTGCCTTATTATTAAGTGCAGAGCTTATTTTAAAAAAGGGGGGGGGGGACGGACGGACCATTTCTGTCATAACTACATAACTACCACAATCGAAGTGTTGATGGATGCAAGGTGAGGGAAGAAGGAGAAAAGCAGACAGTGCCAAGTTGGTCCCACAGAAAGGGTAAGACATTTTATGAAAGCTGATGGCAGTTTAGCAGTATTTAGGGAGTAGCACTAGTGCTATCAGATGGGAACATTTCTGTATCTTTCATTGCAAGTATGCAACGACTCTTTTTTGAAAATTCCAAATGCATTCAGAAGTGGAGAATACTTTCTAAAAAGGAAGCAATGAGGAGGATCGGAAAATTATTTCCAAGATATGATGGGCATTCCAATGTCCTTTAGTCCCCAACAGCTCTTCTACAACCCAAAGAGCACTCCTCTTCAGAGCTAGTGAAAAGGACAGAATTCGCAGAAATCAGGCAACAAAACTACATTAAAGGTAAATTCATACCTTCAGTCCTTTTGTCAAAAAGTGTACTCTACCTACCATCAAAAAAACACAGAAATAAACCTTCACCCCAGTGATGACAAGAACACCGCTGGCATATTTCAGAGCTCCTTTTTTTTTGAACCATGTTCTTCCCGTGACAAAATCAAGGACTTACTGAAGCACTTGCCAAATTTTCATCAACTTTATTAGGGTCTGTATTCAGTTCCCAGGATTTCCAAAAAGAAGCTGCCAAGCAGCTGAGTAACTAATGTAGAGGCCAAGTTTGTAGGCAGGGAAGATTTTTTTCCTCTGAAGAGAGATTAGTAGGAGCCCTAACACCTTTTGACAACAGGTCTGGTCTGCTTGCCCAGTGTCAATGTTTCCATGGTGTTTTATGTACTTAACCATAGAGACAGAGCTCAGAGAACTTTAGATAAGTGCTGTCATCTGAGAGCTTTTCAGTACCTCAACCTATGAAGCTGTGCACAAGTATGCAGTCCAGTTCGA